CATTGTGAGCGAGCGATTTGGCTACTGCATAAATTTGTTTGCTCTGGTGCCATCCTTCCTGAGCTAAGACAAAAATGTGTGACTCAGCTTAGAGGGAACACTGCTGGCAACCGTAGTGTCATCCACACATTGTTGACAACCCAGTAGATGTTGAAAAACATGTTGACATCATGTAGATGTTGAAAAACATAGGGGACAAGATGGAGGCTTGTGGGATCTCACAGGCCAAAGGCAGAACCCCGGTTAAGCAAAACCCCAGTTGAGCAAAACAGTCACAGCAGACTACTTCCTCTTGCAGGCCAGATCCCAACAGGCCTCTGAGCATTAGAACAGCTCCGCAGGACTACACTGTACAGACGCAATGCTGACAGAAAATGATGGTTTCTTTGTTGCCATCACTGCCATGGGCTGTGCTTTAAAATGCACTTTAGCCCAAATGTCTTCGAACAGCGCTGGCTCTTTGGCTTTGAAACGGAGATGAGCACCGCAACCCTAGAGTTGGATTTGACTGGCTTTCGAGCAAGGGAACCTTTACCTTTTTTTACATATTGGATTAGTCCCAAATCTCTCCTGCCAGAAGGCAAAAGAACCGCAGAAAATCCAGATTTCAATTATGTTTGTCCTTGTTATATAACTTCTGATATTTTAATGTTTCCTTTGTCTTTTTTCTGCTGTTTTAAACTGATTGGTATTTTATTGTCATACTTTTAAATTGTTATTATATGCTGTATATTATATAGCCACCAAGGAACCAGGTGGGATATAATACTTATATAAACAAATATTCTGCGTCATTGTATATTACGTTGTTTTTGCCCATACCATATGTTAATTTTCTTCCATCAGGGTGGTTCCTGAATTAATACCCTTACTAGTATATTTGGTGGGAGCTATCTTTTAGTCATCTATTATTTTTGTACAAAAGAAGAACAACACAGAAAAACCTAGGGACTAGGTCTGTCCACGTTGTGCTTTTGGTGTTTACTTGGGTAAATGCAAATGACTATCATTAGCCTAAAATGTTTACTAAAAGCAGTGGGGCTGGCGGGCTGCTCCCAGTGTAAACAGTACCATGTCCACTAAACCCTGTGATTAGAGCCATTGTTCCATAGAGAGCAATGAACTGCTTGGCCCCACGCAGGGTAGCTTATTTCTTGTTTTCCCTTTGCGTATGATGTACTGAGTTCACCCTAAGTGCTCATACAATGCCCAGCCACTGTGTATTCAGATTGTGTAATTAAAAAAGAAAAGAAGAAGAAGCACAATCTTTGGTTTCCATAGGTCAGGTAAAGGGGTGTGTGTGTGTGTTGTCTAAGTTCTCTGAGCTTGTAAAAAGACTTTACTTCAGTTATACAAAGTCCTTTTTTTGTACACAAGGTTTCTGCACTTTATAAAAACTTCATTTCTTTGTCCCAGACTCTCATGAAGGGGACTGGTAGATAGATAATCCTATCATGCTTCACATACTACAGAGATTCTAAGCTATACAAATATTGTTGGTAAACTTTACAATTGAGGAAGATTTTTGCTTGAGGTAAGCAATGTTTTAGTCCCACCGAGCTGCATATATTATTCCAAATATAAAGCTGTTTTTTTATAACTCTATTATGACTATATCCCTGTCTTGTTGTGCAGAGGGTTTATGAGCTAGTGACTGGAACTAAATTAATAGCTGTAGTACAGACCCATGAGAAGCTAGCTCCATGGTTTTACTATCAGGAAGATAAATGTGGAAAGTTCTGTGTGATGGTCTCCATGGAACCTACTGCTTCTGGGGGGGGGGGGGGGTCTGTTCAAGTAAAAGCTGGAATTATTGGGATTTTGTCCTAAACCTACAAAAACTGTGATTCGATCATGAATCCAGCAGGTACAACAATAGTCCTTGATATATCCTGCTGTGGGAATGTTCTACTCACATTATTATAGGTCAGAATCTCTCTCTCTCCAGCTTAAGGTTCAAATTACGATGTGATGAATATACAGTAGAGGTGAAGAATAGATTCAAGGGTCTAGATTTGATAGATAGAGTGCCTGAAGAACTATGGACGGAGGTTTGTGACATTGTACAGAAGGCAGCAATCACCACCATCCCAAAGAAAAAGAAATGCAAGAAAGCAAAGTGGTTGTCTGATGAGGCTTTACAAATAGCAGAGGAAAGAAGGAAAGCGAAAGGCAAAGGTGAAAAGGAAAGATTTACCCAACTGAATGCAGATTTCCAGAGAACAGCAAGAAGAGATAAGGAGGCCTTCCTGAATGAACAGTGCAAAGTAATAGAAGAAAACAATAGAATGGGAAGGACTAGAGATCTCTTCAAGAAAATTGGAGAAATCAAGGGAGCGTTCCATGCAAAGCTGGCCATGATAAAGGACAAAAACGGTAGGGACCTAACAGAAGCAGAAGAGATTAGGAAAAGATGGCAAGAATACACAAAGAACTATACAAGAAAAAACCTCGATGTCCTTGACAACCACGACAATATAATCACTGACCTCGAGCCAGACATCCTGGAATGTGAAGTTAAATGGGCCTTAGAAAGCATTACTAACAACAAAGCTAGTGGAGGTGATGGTATTCCAGCTGAACTATTCAAAGTCTTAGAAGATGATGCTGTTAAAGTGCTGCACTCAATTTGCCAGCAAATTTGGAAAACGCAACAGTGGCCACAGGATTGGAAAAGGTCAGTATACATTCCAATCCCAAAGAAGGGCAATGCCAAAGAATGTTCAAACTATCGCACAATTGCACTCATATCACACGCTAGCAAGGTCATGCTCAAGATCCTACAAGCTAGGCTTCAACAGTACGTGGATAGAGAACTGCCAGAAGTACAAGCTGGGTTTCGAAGAGGTAGAGGAACTAGAGATCAAATTGCCAACATTCGCTGGATTATGGAGAAAGCAAGAGAGTACCAGAAAAATATCTACTTCTGCTTCATTGACTATGCTAAAGCCTTTGACTGTGTGGATCACAACAAACTATGGCAGGTCCTTAAAGAGATGGGAGTACCAGACCACCTCACATGTCTCTTGAGAAACCTGTATAAGGGCCAAGAAGCGACAGTTAGAACCGGATATGGAACAACTGATTGGTTCAGCATAGGAAAAGGAGTACGACAAGGATGTATACTGTCACCTTGCTTATTTAATATATATGCAGAGTACATCATGCGAAATGCTGGCCTGGATGAATCACAAGCGGGAATTAAGATTGCTGGGGAAAAGATCAACAACCTCAGATATGCAGATGATACCACTCTAATGGCTGAAAGTGAAGAGGACCTAAAGAGCCTCTTGCTCAGGATAAAAGAGGAGAGCACAAAAGTGGGCTTGAAGCTCAACATAAAAAAAACTAAGATCATGGCATCCGGCCCCATCACTCCTTGGCAAATAGAAGGGGAAGTCGTGAAAGTCGTGACAGACTTCACGTTCCTGGGATCCCAGATCACCGCAGACTGTGACAGCAGCCATGAAATTAAAAGACGCCTGCTCCTTGGGAGGAAAGCGATGGCGAACCTAAACAGCATGATAAAAAGTAGAGATATCACCTTGCCAACAAAAGTCTGCATGGTCAAAGCAATGGTATTCCCAGTAGTCATGTATGGCTGCGAGAGTTGGACTATAAGGAAGGCCGAGCGCCGAAGAATAGATTCTTTTGAACTGTGGTACTGGAGAAGACTCTTGAGAGTCCCTTGGACTGCAAGAAGATCAAATCAGTCAATCCTAAAAGAAATCAACCCTGACTGTTCCCCGGAAGGCCAGATAATGAAACTGAAGCTCAAATACTTTGGCCACCAAATGGGAAGGGAGCACTCACTGGAGAAGACCCTGATGCTGGGAAAGATTGAAGGTCAAAGAAGACGGGGACGGCAAAGGATGAGATGGTTAGACAGTGTCATAGATGCAACAAACATGAAGTTGAGCAAACTTCAGAGGACGGCGGAAAACCGGAAGGCCTGGCGTGATCTGGTCCATGGGGTCGCGAAGAGTCGGACTCGACTGTGCGACTGAACAAAGACTTCTGTAGTATGAAAGACCATCTTTCAAGGCAGATTATCTCAGATGTAGGGTTTCTGAGCAACCCAGTGCAGGGACTCTTGGGTAATCCTGGTCTAAATGTTTTCTACATTTAAAAAAAGCATTCAGAATGTGGAAGACTTGCATACTGAGGATGTTGTTAGGCTGGACGTTTTCTCTCTGGTGTGCTAGCTTTCTACATGTGAAGTATATTCTTAATGTGAAGGAGCATTAAAATGTGTTTCTGGCTTGAAGGATCCCAGGAGTACACTCCCATTTCATTTTGCTTTATTGTAAGATATCTGAAGGATAACTTCTGTGACAACAGGCAACTACTCTGGAAGCAGACATAACATACATGGTGATGACGGTGGTTTTGATGTGAGGTGCCCTTTGGTTTTGTTTCGGGTAGTACGTGGGCACAATAATTTAAAATTGAATGCTGTCTTGGAGCATAAGATGTAGGTATTTAGCCCTGATTACAACAGCCTCGCTTTTGATATCTCTAGCCCATTCATGTCAAAAGACGAAGACTTCCAGCATGAAGCCAGGGCATCATGACATTTCATAGAATCAGTATTCTCCACAATTATGTATGACATATTCTCTTTCTGTGTTGAGTAGCCTCTTCTCTGTCCCAGTCCGACATGCATTTCAGTCATTTACAGGTAGGTATATAAAACATAAAAAACCACAGGAATCGTAAATGATGATGCTGTTTTGTAGGCTATGCATTCTAACAGTTTTATATTTCTGCCTGAATCTTGCATCACCCACATGCTAGCTCAGAATCATGTGATCTCAGGACATAAAGCCTTTAGAATGTTATTTCTATTCCTGCATTATTTAGGAGTGGTAAGTCCTTTTTAATGGAAGGGTTTTGTATGTCAAAAAGTATCTATACTCTGAGATCTTGTTGGGAGAAAAATTATATACATTTCATTGTGTTTAAGGTTTGTTTTGAAAGGCTTTTTTTTCTAATTATAGGATGTTACAGAACAATCAACTAAATCAAATCCCAGCAGAGGCTCTGTGGGATCTTCCAAACCTTCAGTCACTGTAAGTACTTATGGATTGATACTGTGCAGTCTTTTAAGCAAGAGATTTTCAAAAGTATGGTAGAATCCCAGCACTTTCGTTTACTAGGATAGGCTTCCAGCTGCTCAGTCAGGCAGTCATGGGAGCAATATAGTATAATGCATCTGAAGTTTTAGAACTGGAAGCTGATTTTCATATAAACATTTCTTCAGAAATCTGAAGAAGTTTTTCTGAAGTCTTCGAAAGACTGTCTTTATGCTGTAGATTTTCGATTGCTCATCTGTGTCATAAACTCTCTCTCCATGATTTCTTTCCTTTTTTAAAAACAACAACAACATTAGCGTAACTACGAATAAAGGGAAGCCAACTACAGCCTCCACTCATGGGCCACCAAAGACCCACTGGAAAAATTCTGCTTTACAGAGCCTCCAAAATCTGTGCTTCAAGGTTGGACAAGTTCCCAGAAAGCCTGTTTCATAGCACAGGTGCAGTCTCTGAGAAGGCCGGAGCCCAATTAACAACAGTTTTTAACTGACTTGATTGGAGGAACTCCTAGTCTTCCCTAGTCTGTTGACAGAGCTGCTAAATTTACATTTATCAGTGAGTGGGCTCGTTTTACGTAGAATAGTTGTTTTATTCAATAAAGACTAATATAAAAAGTTATCATGTTCTTTGAAAAGAAGTGGAATGAATGCAAGCTGTTCCATCATGTAAAATGTAGTTAAGAACATAAGAACATAAGAGACACCAATGTTGGATCAGGCCAAAGGCCCATCCAGTCCAACACTCTGTGTCACACAGTGGCCAAAAATACCAGGTGCCATCAGGAGGTCCAGCAGTGGGGCCAGGACATTAGAAGCCCTCCCACTGTTGACCCCCCCCCCAAGCACCAAGATGACAGAGAATCACTTGCCCCAGAGCCCCTATCTATACCTTGTGGCTAATAACCACTGATGTACCTCTGCTCCATATGCTTATCTAATTCCCTCTGGAAGCCGTCCATGCTTGTAGCCGCCACCACTTCCTGTGGCAGTGAATTCCGTGTGTTCATCACTCTTTGTGTGAAGAAGTACTTCCTTTTATGCATTCTTGGGATCTGGAACAAGCATAATAAGTGCTGTCGTTTGCCTAAAAGATTATTGAAGTTAATAATGAATCTTTATTCGGGAAACTTGCTGCCTGTTAAAATAAACAATGAGGGGCAGTTATCCAACCCTATATCTACCCAAAGAGGTGTTTGTCAAGGATGTGTTCTTGCACCACATCTATTCAATTTATATCTAAACGACTTTGTCCCAGGTTTGCAAAACATACCCGCTCATGCCCCGTGTGTGGGAAACTGACCAGTGCCTGCCCTGCTGTATGCTGATGACCTTGTCTTATTATCGAGAACTCCGATTGGCTTAAAACATGCCATTAATGCATTTATTTCCCACTGTAATGAAGAGCTATTGGAGATAAATGAGGATAAGTCCAAAATTATGGTTTTCACAAAATCAACAAGATAATCAAATAAAAGATGGAAAATCGGAAGGTACAAATTACAACAGGTCAATGAATTCAGATATCTAGAAATTGTTTTCCAGCCAAACTTATCATGGTCCAAGCACATTAAATATCTTAAACAGAAAGTTGACCTAGCCTTACTAGCCTTGAAGAAGTTTTTCTACATCCAAGGAGCACAATATGTCCCAGCACTTCTGAAAGCATATACGGTTCCCAAATTTGGTTCTTAGGTCCAACAGAGCAACTTGAAAAACTACAGCAAGCCTTCTTCTGTAAAATATTAACGTTACCTCCATGCATCGCTTCTACAGTCATAAAGCTTGAGTTAAGCCTCCCAAGAAACTCAACTCTGATCTGGAGGGCCATAGTTAGTTACAAATATCGGCCCCGGTCACACGGAGCATTAGGCATGCTAGAGAGATGGAAGATAGGCGGATTTTCCGGGCGCGATCACACCGCCACATCTGGGAAGCGTAGAGCTCCTGTGGCTCACCCGAGGCTTCACTCCAAAGATGCGCTGTAAAAAACTAGTACCTCCGAGGTACTAGTTTCCGGAAACTATGGCACAAGGGCGGGTGTCAGATCACGTTTCCGGTGTTAGCTCGTGGCATCCAGCGCCCGCCCATGTCCCGTCGCGAAAAGGGGTTTTTTTGGTCAAGTCCCCACGGGTGCGCACAAGCACCCAACGGCGCATGCGAACACTTGAGTTAAAAACAACAACACAACCCCCGCGGCGCTGCTTCTTTGCCACGCCGCGGTAGTGAAGTATGATCGGCACCTCCCCCCAACCACGGGACGTCGGCAGGATGTCGGGCGGGACGTTTGATCCAGCTGCCGCGCGGTAGTTCGCTCCAGGGCAAACAGCCACGCCTCCCCCCCCGCGATATCCCACCCGTGTGACTGGGGCCATCGACTGTTAAATGCTGAAAGCCTTCCAACCTTTACCATACTGACAAAAAATGAACATTGCTGGTCAACATGGAATGATGCTGTAGATGTGAAAATAAGCCAATTGGGCTTAAGGAAGACAGAAAATTTAACTAAAAGAAGACAAACACTACTCACAGAAAAGTTGCTCCAAAATGATTGGGATGCCCTTCAAACAGATGCTATACGAAAATGCTCCCCACTTCATCTAGGTATTAAATATTCCACTAAATTTGACCTGCCTCTCTACTTAAACATGTTGACCATTCCAAAATTGGGGCGGTCATATATAATTGCATGCTGCAATGCATTTCCAACAGCCCAGATGAAAGGCCGTTTTCTCAAGGCCCCTCTGGACCAGCGCTATTGTGACTGTCCTTTGATAGAACTTGACTCGCTGTGTCATGTTTTCTTCTATTGTCCAAAGCATGCAACAGCAAGAGAAAGATTCTTAAGAAAATGGCTGTCTAAATATTCATCTTTTCCTGATTCATCAAGATTAAGACTACTTCTGAGCAGCCTCTGCCAAAATTGCATCGGGGATGTGGCAAATTTCTGTTTTACTGTTCTTTTAAATTCCTAATAAATATTTTTAATGGTGTATGGCCTATGGGCTACTAAACCTTAAATAAACTAAACTAAATAAGTGCTGTCTAGAAATCCAAGTCTCCTTCCAAAGAACTGTGACAGTGACACACCAATAGAAGCTAGTCCACATTTAGAGGGATAGTATACTTGCTTTTAACTTTTTCTCTTGTCCAGTAGAGAGCAGTGTTTTGCAGCCAACTCAGTAATATCAGCCTGTATTTGTTCACCAGTAACTTGTTCCCAATGGTGCAATTAAAAGAAGAACATTTGAGTGGCCCTATGGCTCTTAGTCAGGTATTGTGAACCTTTGGATTTGCTTTCCCACTCCCATAATCAGCATTGCTGTTTTAAGCATCTGTTCATCTACATGAGTGTGGCTGTATCTATCATAAACTCTTTTGATGTATAAGAAACTTTCAGCAATATAGCTACTTCTCCCAACAATGATAGTGCTAAACAAGAAGTAGGTAGAAGGCACATGCCATTGTGCAATTTCCTCTGTGGCTCCTCTTTCAAAGAACCCTCCTAATAATTTCCTTTTTGATACACACCTGTGCTGTTCAAATCATCCAGCCCAGTAGTGACTCTACATCTTAGCAGTGGGATATATGAGCCTTTTGCTTGAGAACTGGGTCATGAGAAAACTCTGTTACACTTTGATCTCTAGAACTGTTTTCTCAAAGCAAAGAGTGGCATGTGCTTACAGATGAATTCACATTCAGGTTCTTGCATGATGTCTTTCACAAGTATGTTTTCCCATACAAAAGAAGTGGTTTTGAGCTTTCTCTTCCAATGATGTGTTCTGGGCACTATCCAAGCATGTCAACCACTGTTTTTCTCCTTAACAATTAGCTGTAATGTCTTGGCTTGAAAAGATTAATTGATATTTGAAGTGAAGGGACCTCTTAGCATTTCCCCCCACACACAAAGGTGAACTATATGTCTTGTACCTGCAGAGGAGAAACAGTGTACCATAAAGCTCTGTGTTAACACCATTCCAGCCTCTATTCAGGAAGCAATACTACAATATAACAACAAGCACACACATTTACTCCCATCTGATGTGGCAACATGGCGACTGTCCCATGAAGCCCGAGCTTCTCTTCACAGTGCAACCAATTTTCAGCCTTCCTGTGGAAAAGTGCCTGTATGGAAAAGGCTTAACATTGGGAGAGCAAGGATTGATAGTACACAGAGATGCTACTGATATGAGAGAAGGGAGAGATATTTTCTTGCAAACTATTGTACCCTCCTTCAGTATTCGGTGCTTTACTAAACTACAGGGATGTCTATTGAATATTCTCCATTTTTTTCTAGAACTAAGAAGTTCACATTGGCATAGCATGAGAAACTTTTGCACTACCGGCTGCTTCTTGGGTACCAGGCAATGACACAGTGTGGTAGCAGATTCCAGTGGGGGAGTAGTGTTAGTTTGTTGCAGCAAAACCAAACAGGAGTCGTGTGGCATGTGAAAAACTACTAGATTTTTTGAAGCATAAACTTTCATGGACTACAGCCATTCAGTGATCACAGTGGGAGGTTTATTTCTTTTGGCAGAATCCTTGAGTCAAATGGCAGAAGTTCATAGGCTGACTATCCACTTCCAAAATTACAAGTAACACTCAAGCTCATGAAGCAAGATCTATGTTCTAGGTCATCTCAAGATATGGATCTCACCATGAAATCTGTACTTCGTTTGTGTCAGACCCCCATACGTACTCACTCCCAACAGCACTCTTCAGGAGCAAGATTTGTTTATTGAGATATACAGTCGATACAGATGTAAGCAAACTTGTGTCAGAACTGGCAAGCATTGGCGCCAAACCCACTATTATACCCACTTCAAACTACCCCCCCATGCCATGGCCCAGTCACACTGGTCATCCATCCCGCCAAGCCAATGCACGTTCTTCCCCCTCCACACACACCTGCGAATACAAAGTTAACTATAGCAGCGCTTCTGGCAGCAAAGGCTTCAAGGACAGTTTGTCTTCCCTCCT